ATCCAGTATGCCGTTGAATCAATATCTAAAAATCCTAAATTAATAAGAGAGTGGGTTAAGTATTTGCCAGAAGTTATTGATTACCTAAATAATTATCCGACACGTCTCATTCGAGCTCCAGGTTCATCAAAATGGGGTTTAGCTCCAGCAAAAGCTATTAAATTGGAACGAGTAGAATCTAGGCCATCTACAAAGTATAAGCGTCCCGTTGGAAAGGATGAGAAAAATAAATTAAAAAAGGGGGATAGTGTTCGTTACCTGCTTGCTAATGCAGAATGGGAAGGAGGTATGGAGAATCAGAAAAGAGCTACGGATCCGGTATGGAGTCCTTCATTACATAAAATTCGCAAAATTGTGATAACGAAGAACGAACCAGTTTTATATTATCTCGGAAGTGATGACGATGAATATCCTCCAAAGCGGGGATTTGTGCAAGAGGAGCTCATGTACGTAGATCTAGAAAAACTTCAGTATCCGCCTCAGAGTATATTGAAAGAAAAAACTCGTTCCAGATCTGTTAATTTTGTTCGTATTATTAATAAAATGGCTAAGGCTGAAGAATATGCTGAGAAGCGCGGTGGGGAGTGTCTTGGTAAAACTAATCAAATAAATGATTTCGATATATATCTTTGGTCATGTGAAAATGGAAAGCATCAGTGGGAATATCCATATCCATTGATCGCAGATAAATTTGAGTGGTGCCCCCTATGTCAACATAATAAAGGTGAGAGATCCGCTCGATATATTTTTGAAGATTTATTAGGTAAAAAATTTCCATCTTGTAAACCGTCATTTTTGAATAAGATGCAATTAGATGGATATAATGAAGAATTAAAATTAGCATTCGAATTCCATGGCATCCAACATTTTTCTGAGAATCCAATGTTCCATAAGCGAGGCAGAATAGACTTAGACAGCCAACAGATGCGCGATCAAAAAAAGCGGGATATATGCAAAGAGCGAGGTATAGATCTCATTGAAATTCCTTACTCCGCTGATTTATATGAATTTATTCGAAACATTTTAATTGAGAAAGGTTATTTACAGGATAAAAATTAAATCTGTAAGTGCTTATCTTAGATGTGAATAAAGGTAAAACTCTAAATACTTATCTCATTTGATTAATATTTTTTGGATATAATAATTAGTGACTTATCCAATCAGAATGAAAATAGAAAAGCTCGACCCTGTTGAAAGGATGGTTTTGAATATTGACGAATACAAAAATATAGAGAGATTTAATGGCCTTAATAGTACACCTCAATGGCCATTCAATTTATTAATTAGTGAATGAACAAGATCAGGAAAAACTAACGAAGTTATCAACCTTTTACTTGGAAATAAAATATATCAATTGTTTAGTGGGAAAAAAAGTGGAACAAGATATATTAAAAATGATGATTTGATTTTGATCGGTCATCAAATTAATGAGCCCAAGTATAAATATCTTCGAGATTGTTATAAAATAATTGCAAATAGCCCCAAATAATATCGTAAAGATGTTACATTCCAAGCAATAAAACCTGATAAAATACCAAAAGTTGATGACTTTTCTCCTGAGAGAGAAACAGTAGCTGTATCCAAAGATGTATGTACAGAATCTAAAAAAATACAAGATAAAATAGCATATTATTTTACTGAGAGAAAGCATAAAAATATTAGTTTAATATATATAACACAAAGCTTTTTTGACTGTCCTAAACTAATAAGAAAAAATCTCGATTATATTATTTTCTTTAATGATAGTGGGACATATGATGAACTTGTTAACATTACCTAATGATATACAAAAAAATGGTATGATGTTATTAATATACTTGATAAAAATTTGCAAGATAGAGAATTTATTATTATTGACTTGACTAGAGTGAAAGAGGATCTGCTCTATATTCGCAAAGGATAGGACTAACCTCTTGATCTTTCTAATAAGTAGCATAATTTACAGTAATGATATAATAATTATTTTTTTTATTATTTATTAATACAGCAATATAAATACATCTCATCTACCACTTTTTGATAAGATGATCGTAGCCAGTCAATTTGAAATCGGAGTGAATGTTTTTGATATCTTATTCGCTACTATTTTTAAATAAAATAGCTATCAGTATCTAGCCTGATTGAAGTTGGAGTAGATGTTGAAAAAATAAATAAATTCTGTAGACCCTCTGGGATATAATTCGAAGAATTGCCTAATGACCTGCTCCGTAATAGTTTATTTATACCAAGGGAGATTTTTGTGTTGGGTAAAATGACTGTATATAAAAATCAAAGTAAAAAAGTGTTACTAGCCCTTGAGGATAATGAAACAAATTCTAAAGTACTAGTCCTCAGGAATACTTTAGATGGCTTATTTTAAATAGATATATATGAATAAGTTATATTCTGACAAAGTCTTGACAGTCATTATTAAGATATTGATTAGGATTCTTTACCCATTGTAATATCACATACCAAGATCTACCACCAATTAATCTGTATCCATTCTGTTGCAATAAATTTATTACATAGTCATATATTCTATAAATTAAAAGACTTTTCTTGGATTCTGCCCACAATTTAGGACTTTTGAAATACCAATATAATCATTTTCCATTATAGTCAATATAACCATAACCATCAGAATGATTTACTTTTTGAGGAGTTATGCCTAAAAACTTCTTATCATTGGGATAATTATCTATCTTTAGAGAATTCCAAGCTTGGGTTGCTAATGATTCAGTCCTCTGTTTGTAGTTTTTCCAAGCTCTTTGTATAATTCTTGCTTTTCCAAAATCAGTCTTTGGTTTATTACATTTGTGATCTCAATGTTCTTGCATCAGATCTTTAGGTTCGAAATAATTAATATACCTCTGTCTAGTAAAATAGAATAATTTTTTAGAATTTACATCATCGATTTTTATGAGTTTCCAGCAATCGAAGCAAATCGCCATATGACTTTTGTGGATTCTTGATCTATAATAATTGAAATTGACAAATTTACCTTTACTAAATGACATAAATAAATAATATCAATGATATACACTAAATTTTCTAGCAGTTAATAAATCTTGTAATGGAATTCTTACTCGTATTACCCATTGAACTGATATTTCATTCTGTTTTATGATAGATAAAGTGTCAAATAATCTCTCATTATTGAAAATTTGATTGAGTTTATTAGCATAAGTTCCACCATAATGTGATATATATGATATAACATACTTTATATCAAAACCAAAATAATTGATATATGGTTTAGGAAGTGTTTTATCTTTTTTATCAATAATAGTAGTGATATCAAAATCAGACATATTTATTTATCGATTAGAATATTTGCTGAAAGTAGTCACTTCATAGCTAGACCTACCTATTTGATTTAGCCTTGCTAGTTTCACTAATAATTATATACTCTAGAATATATGATTCAATTTTAGTCCAAATACTCGAAGAGCATCTCATTCTCAAACTATTTATTCAAGTGTGTCTCTGACATACATTAACGTATCTGATCATATTACAAAGTAAAGCAAATTACATCACGTTATAATGAGCCTCAGGAGAGTGATGTCATGTGCAGATTGATATATGGATTTATGTAATATATTTTCAAGTTTGTGATACGTAATATATACTATATATACCTAAACATTTTGGTCCCAATTCTGTGGTTACCTATTTTTGGTTATAGTTATAATTGTTAGAATAAAATCAAAGATCTAATAGCAAATTATTTGAATAAAAAATATATTATTATGCAGTTGTTTTGTTGAGATTGTGAAAATATTATTCATTTTACTTTCCTTCTGATAGATTCTAGTCATTTTTATATTTATGATCATAAGTAGCTACGCATTTACAGATGGAATATAAAAATCCTTACATTTTCCCCATCTCTTAAAAATTGCAACTCAAAAATCAATAATATCTATGGAAACAGAAAGATCCAACCCCATTGCTTCACAAATGCAGTATGTACCAATTACTCTTGAAGAAGAAATATTTGGATCTCAATATATGGACACGCTTAATTCACCAGATGATGGTAATACTGCCAAAGTTACTGGATCAATAACCCTGCAAACACCTCCTGAAACATGCTCTTTATGCAATAATTCTGTTCTATTATCCAAACTCAATGAAGTTAACTTGGAACCGATTGCAAAATTAACCTGTGTTCATACCTTTCATCTTAAATATATTGTCAACTCTCTAAAGGAAAATCCAGATTGTTTCTACTGTCGTCGATCTATCTATTCCAATGATGATAATGATGACATCTTACACCTACAAGAAAAAAACTTTAAAGTGGAAAAGTTTCTCAAAGAATTATCTCTTTGGCCAATAGTATTTACTCAATTACCTGATCCAGAAAATGAGAAGATAGAGAATTCCTCAACTCCACAAATGGATTTTCCTAAAATACATGACAAAATTCTTAAAGATGAGAAGAATCTTGAAAAACAAACACGTAAGATGATCTATACAAAATATGAAATTCTTGACTCATATTACCTTCTTGAAAAAGCATTAGAGGATAAGTCAGCAGAGTTAAAGTCTAAAAATCCATTCCATTCTGCCCAAATTATACTTAATAAGGAAATTAGATGTCAGTTTCTATCCGATACTACTTGCAATATCTTTAATAAGAAAAAATGCTCAGCTCTAAATATTTACAGGATTTTTAGTAGTAAAAATATAGGCAGAGATAAGATACAATGAATTAGATCCTTCACCCCCTCATCCATTGGAAAATTTACTAATAATAAAATTAAAATTATTAAAGAAAGGAGTAAAAAGGTTCTCACATCGCATAATGAAAAACAGATAAATGAGGGTGAGGAATTAGAATATAATACAGATATGGAGATTGATTAATTATTTTTATTTTTTACATACACACATGGGATATGAATTAGAGAATGTATACATATTCATTTAGAAGTCTGATAAATAACTAATAAATATTCATGTAAGATTTTTTCTAACCAATGTAGTAATACATGTGATGTTGAGCTCTAAGGGATCAATCTCAGATGATTGCTTTTGCATATAGACAGGCTTGAAAAATCGATTGCATAATACGGATATTCGATCAGGCACGTAAGTGCTATTACTTCATAATATATTTATCACAGAATAAATTAGGTCATAGAAATTCTGCATGCATGATATAAGGGCGTACTCCTGATTATTACTATGATCAAATTTCTGAATAAAATCACATGGCTGAAAAATTGATTACGTAATACAGATATTTGATCAGCATATACCATAGAATAAAATTGAAGATCATGAAACTTTTTATGTATGATGTAATCATGTGATCTGCTAATTGTTCTAATCTGATTGATTAACTCGTGGTATATGCAATTTCTTTATGAAAAGTTTTTTTATTGTGCATATTTACATAGTAAATGCCCATGAGCTTGCATCACTCCAGTTCTACATTCCCTAAATTTACCGTTTCCATACCTAAATAAGACCAGAAATGAGTGGAGAGAGCATTTTAAAAGAACAGTATATTTGTGTTATGGTTATTCATTTATTTTTTTACTTGCAATATAACAAAGCTTTTATTACTTCGAACTCAACTAATCAATATATCTGCTAATTTACAAACCAAAATTCATAATTTTTTGATCAATGCCAAAGAGTACCATATAAATATCATGTTTGTTATTTATCAAGGTTTAGAAGAAAATCCCTGGATTTCACAAAATGAGTTGAGAACAATTGTAGACTGAGTCATTAGTTATCTTAGTAATTTGTGTTCGGATGGGTCTTTGCATCAATGAAAGCTTTTTAGAATTCATTCACAGATTAGCTATTAATTTTTTTTTACAAAATCATTTCATTATATGATGATATTATGTGGTCAGCTATTAGATTTACATACCGAAAAGTAGCTTAATTATCCTATTAACCTACTCCTGATAAATACTTGCTCAATAATTGAGAGATATCTAAGCTATAAACTATTATGTAGTAATGTAGTTTATCCTACTAACCTATTGATGAGAAAAATTTATCATCTGTATGGAGGATAATGGGGTTATATTATTATGTAGAAAATTAGTATCACACAGAGTTTCATTGATGTGACAGCTGCACAAAAATAATAACTTTGCATATGTACTGATAATATATACATTTTTTTAATGATGAGTTTTTTTTATTACTGAAAACTAATGTATATTTATTTTTTAGTTTGAAGATGCTTTTGAGGAGATCTCCACATTGTACGATCTTGGGATTATTAAAATAAATAAAGAAAAATCTCTTAGCTCAGATCAAATCGGAAATAATATGATTGAGCTTCAAAAAAAACTCAAAAGAAATACAATCCCTCTATATCAACATTTATATTCTGGTGTAAGAACAATATCTATTGAGGTGTTGTCTTGAAAAGATCCTATGGCCAGTCAAGTTATCAGCAATGAATCGAAGCTTGTAAATGAATTACCGGGAAATTTAAGAAAAGGGTTTACGGTAAAGAATTATATGTATATTTAATCACATTATCTTTATTAATACTATTAATAACATTTATTATTTACATTAGAAACTTATTCGTAAAATAATGCCCACACCTATATCAATGATTCAAAAAATATATAGAGAATTTGTACTAAATTTTAAGAGGTATGAAATCGAAATGAAATCAGCCAAATTAATACATGATGGGGCTTGGAAAGAATCAAAAGAAGATATCAAATACATGATCAAAGAAATTCTTAATGTTTTGAAAGATATTTGGAATAACTCAGTATTTGATCCTGAACTCGTAAAGATATTAAATGAGAGGATATATCAATCAACTATTATTGTACCTGTTATTTGAGCTTCATTAAAAAATCTCCCCGTTGGAGATGCTTTTTTTATTAGCACGTCAGAAAAGTAAAGTATTGCAAGTACTAATAGAAAGGGAGAAGGTTATATGAGAAGATATTCAGATATTATATTTATAGTGAAATACTTGGAGATGGTTTTTGAACTCATGTACGTAGAATGTTCTCATTTAATTTCTAGTCCACAAAAAAAGACTAATGATGAGATTAAGTTATAGTAAGAAACTAATGATGGACTATATTGGATACGCCAAAGTCTTAAACTGGATAAGGATCAGTTTGGTATTATAGATATGCAAGTAGCAGGTAATGTATTGCACTTGAATCTTCTAGTACAAGATATGGTTAATGTTCACTAATATTATCATTTACAATCTGTTGAGATTCCTGTACAATTTTCGGATGAAGCTATTGTAACTAAATTTATAGAAACTTTATTACTTTTACATAATATAATAATTACTAATTTATCTTTACTATATCATGTATCTACTGCCATATCACAAAGACAAATAAAAGATAGTACTACAGTTTTTACTCCATGAGATGATAACTAGACTTCATTATATGTATTTTTTATATCTTGTATTTATCCCAATAAAGATGACTCTGGTGACTGGATTATTATATACTTTGTGTGATATATCTAATTAGGCATTCACCAACCTCTGATTAAATTTTTCAGATAATCATTACGCATTATTTATTGGACACATGATCAAGTATCAAGTCCATCACATGTTGGAAAATTAAATCATATGCTTATAATACATCCTGAAATAGATTTAATACCTGAAATAGATTATGTAATGATCCCAGATATAGAACGACACATTATCAGTTGCCTCATCTTGATTGGTTGATAAATTTCTGACCGTTAACAGTTTTTTAATTATTCTGATTGGATAGATCACTACTTTGAAGAATAGGCCCTATTACAAAGTTTATTTTTATAATTTTTTTGGATAGAAGAGTCAATCTTTTTCTTTTTAATATGAACATGATTCTTTTGGAGATTTATCTGATCAAGATCATACCAGTCTGAATCTGTGGATTCTGAATCAGAGCTGGATGAATTAGTCTCTGTCTCAGATTTGCTGTGAAATATTCCATGATGTTTCTTTTGTTGCTTATTATTACAAAATAATGATAATGCAGAGTATTGAATTTCCGATTCCTCTTTAAGTCTATCTTCAATATTTGAGAGAATTTTGTTAATTATATTTATAATCTCCTCTTGAGCTAAACCAGGTTTAGATTCTGTTGATTTAGGGACAAAGTTCCATTGCTCTGCAATAGATAAGTTATTTTTAGTGAAGCTGGCTTTATGGCTCGAAGAGTCACCTGTAGATCTGCTATCTTCTTCAATTAATGGGATACTCATACCATCTATCTTGATTTTAGCATGAGGATCATGGCTTCCTTTAGAAGATAATTTAAAGTTCATTTTAACTTCATGTACTCACAACCACCCTCAATCCAATACCAAATCAAATATTGGATTCTTACGAATTTTGAAGTATATTATATTAGTATAATCTAAACTTTGCTATTTTTCTTTATAGTGAAACTGTAAATCTAAGCAATTTATCTTACCTATTACATCTTTATAGAGATATTCTGCAGGACCACAGCTAGGACGTATTCCGTAATTCGATTTAAGTTTAATGAATAGCCTCTTGCTAATGGTATTAAACTTCGATGATGTATCAATTAATGCTTTTACTGGAATTTTTCTTTCAATAATAGTATCAATGAACATGTTAAGTATATTTAATAATGTATATTACCACGAAAAAATAACCCAGTAAATAATTAACCATTCTCCACTGCTAAATAAAATTATTTATAATCCACGTTGGAGAATTCTCTCTGAGATAATTAATAATTGCAGAAATAAGATCTGTTTCATCTGATATATGACTCAAATAGTAGTCTTTAAAGACCCTGGTTATAGCTATCCCATTTCGTCGACCAGTAAAAATTGGAATAAGTGGAGGTAAATCAGAAATGGAGAATTCATCATCGGAATAATCTGAAATAAGTGGAGGTAGATCAGAATCCAAGAATTCATCATCAGAATAAACTGGGTATTTAATTTTAATTTTTGAATTAAGTTTCTTTATCACTTCTTCGCTAATCCCTTTACATCTCTCCAAACTAAGATATTTCAAATTATTACAGTTATAGGCTATTTCCTCAAGAGCTTTATTATTAATCGAACAATTACTAAATTCAAGATGTTTAAGTTTTGGACAAGAACACAATATTTCAGTGATACATCGATTAGTGAGATATATACATGAATTAAGACTCAGGTGTAATAGTTTTGAGTAATATCTTGCAATTTCTATAATTGGTATGTTAAAAAAACCAATACTTCGATCAAGAATGAGAGTGCGTATATCTGGGCATGAGTATAGAATCATACTAATTAATATATCTGAGATTTTCAAACCTTCTAATCTGAGATATACCATTTTAAAGCAATAGGTTGGCTTTATTTTTTCACACATAGCTTTTTTAAAATTTATCAATTACCAGGTAAGAGTTCGAGGCATCTTTCGACCATGCCAACCCCTCTGATAATTATTTTCTGTAAAAAACTTAATGCAATGCCATAAAATAGGAGTATCGCAGTGGTACCAAAAGCTGTTAACAAATAAAACGGGATAGAGGGATCAATCGATTTCTAAAAAATATAGGATCTGTTATAGTAATTCTGGTAAATCAAAAATATTTCTCACAAAGTGAGGGCACTTATGTGCCAGACTCTTTGAGTTATTACTCTGCAATAGTTGTGCCATCTCAAGAATATATATATTATATATCTTTAATTGAAATAACTAATGTTCAATAATTAATTTAGACATATATATTGTTTATTTTCTGGATATTCTCAATCACGCTTAATTTTGCAATTAGCTCATCTAATGATAGATCTGTTCCATATCTTCTGGCTTCCATCTGGTTATCAGAATTTAATCCATGAAGGAATTGATGTTTAAGATATTCTTTATCATATTCAAGCGAGTCATTATATTTTTTTACTTTTGCAAAATACTCTATTACTGATTCGTTTCCTTGTTCCAACCCCCCAAATCAGAATTTTTAAATATCGGTAGACCCAGTTGAGATAAATTTTAAATACTTACTTATTTTATTTATAGACTCCTTAATCCTAAATCAGATCATATTTATTTGATTCTCCGATGACAAACCATTAATAAATTTTTCTTTAATCTTTTTATCATCCATATCTAACCCCAGTGATAATTTTATTCATTTGAAGTATTCATCCACAAACTTATCAAGTTGTATAGGCGGTGAAATATCTTCAGTTTTTTCAGGTTCTGAAACTGGAGAGCTCAGATATGATTCTTGCATTGTTTATTTTTGTAAATATATATATAATATATTTTTTACTTCATATTAATAATAATTTAACTATTATAATGACCGAAGCTGATAATCCTGAGATAATGCAAAGTGTCTGTAAAAAATTTGAAGCAATGTTAAAGCAACATAGTGGAATTGATTCAGGTTTAGAATGTCCAATTATCACTTATGAGATTGCGAAAAAAATTGGGTTTTGAAAAAGATAAAAATTTATCTAATATTACTGATAAAGCAGTATCTAGTATTGTTAAACAGATATCACATAGAAGAATTTCGATTTCTCTTCACCAATTACTGAAGATAGTAAAACCCGAGATTCAGCAAGATATTATAAACTTGATAATAAACTCAGACAATATTCGGCAACATATCCCATATATGGCTAAAAGAAAAAAGAAAATTTTAAATGATACAGCATCTGAGTCCTCATCTTTATCCGATTATGGATCTATCTCTGAATGATATAATGATGATAAAGATTTACTATGAAAGTGGTGAAAGCAAAGAAGCATGATTAGTAATTGTATAGATCTAATATCTGATATCTCAGTATTTTTTTTCTCTAGTTATTAGAGCAATTGGTCTGTCATTCATCACACCATAATAATCTGATGCAATAATAATTACCTTCTGTTTTAATGCTAATTGACGGAGATGTTTATGATAGGCATCATTCTTACCTTCATGAATATCAATAGCATGATCAGATCTGATTTTTCTCAAATATGATGAGTTTATTCCATAAATAGCTAGGAAATTATTAATCAGATAAATGTTTACATCACCATCTTTATCTCTTATTAGAAATGGAAATTTTGCTGGAATTACTTTCTGGATCCAAATGAGTAATTTCCTGGCCTGTAGTGGATCTTTTTCCATAGATATCAATGGTCTAGATTTATCTTTTGTATTTTTTGCATAATCAGTGCAGTATCAAGAATATTTAGACTTGTACTAATCAGCATTAGATAGTTTATAGGGATCAATATGAAGATTTGCAACATCTGCTGGCCTTATAGATAACATTATCATTATATCCATTAAATTTTGCATTGTAAGGGGATTGGTAATATTACAATCCTTAAGTCTTTTCTGAACATTTTCCAAGTAAAAGAATTCTGGACAATCATATCCCTCATCTTCATGGAGTTTCTGATTTATCACTTGTTCTTTATTTGATTTTTGAGTAATATCTGATATATATATTGCTTCTATTGTAAGATATTTAGCATTAAGTATACATAATTTTTTTTGAAGTAATTTGAGATGTGAAGATTGAGCTATTACAGTAGGAGCTGTTTTAGCTAAGTTATATGCTAGCATATTTATCTCTTTGGATTCAAGATTATTTTCATTTTTCTTAATATATTGAGTGAGCTTTTCAATCAGGTCTCACCCTATAACACGCCTTCTGGAAGTCTGGATAGGAATTAAAGTATATGTTTGATCTTTGCTAAATCCTAACTTTTGGATTCTATTCTGAGCATGATTACGGGCTTTATAATCTTTAATCTCTTTACATATTTTTTCAGCATAATTACCAAGCTCAGCTATAGTCATCTGAGGAGTTAAGTTATACTAATTTATGAAATTT